AATTTTTTGGTTTTTGTCAGTTGTGGGGCTTGAACTCAGGGCCTGGGCACTGTCCCTGAGCTTTTTGTGCTCAAGGTCAGCACTCTACCCTTTGAGCCACAGCACCATTTCCAGTTTTCTAGTGTTAATTGGAGATAAGAGTCTCAGGAACTTTCCTGCCCAAGCTGGCTTCAAACCAAGATCCTCAGATCTCATGAGGAGATAGGATTACAGGCAGGAGCCACCGGTTCCCAGCTAATTTTTTTCCTTAGTTTTTTGTTTGTTTGTTTATTTTTATTTTTGCTGGGCCTGGGCCTGGGCTCTGTCTTTGAGCTTCTTTTGCCCAAGGCTAATGCTCTACCACTTCAGCCACTGCACCACTTACTATCTTCAATTTTTATTATGTCTTGTACCACACATTCCAATTAAAAGTCTGTAGTGACACAGCCTATGTGCTTAATATTTTCATTGTGCTAACACAGTATTAGTTGAGTAAACATTGTGTAAACTGCTCTGGCATTCCTTTATTTAAGAGCATTTTTTCCTGGTTTATTTGGTACAGTTTTCCTTGGGTGTTAATTTTTGGAGAATTACCCTAAAAGTAGAATTATATAGGTAAAAAATACTAGTCATGTAAGAGCCACCATTGTATTTATTAACCAGCTGTTTCCCAGGAAAAAAATACCAGCAGTTTTAAAGTCTACAGATAACATGCAAATGTCACTGTCCCCAAAGCCACACGACTGCCACAAACACACAATCATATCACACTGTTGTTTTTTTTTAGGGGGGAGAGGAGGGTCTAATGGCTGTGCACAGAGCCAAAAAGCTGTCTGAACATAGATTTTAATGACAGGCAAGGCTGAACGTCAGTGCTAATGATGACTGACTTGTCTGAAATGTTCGAATAGGATTCATTGAGGCAATAAGTAACAGCCTTTTGTTTGCATCAGTATTGCGTATATTTATAAACAGTACCTTTTTCTACTTACAAATGTGACTTGTATACATTAAAGAAAGTCAGGCAAATAGGGAACAAAAGAAATAACAAAAACCACCCATAACCCCAAAACACTTTTCCTTGTAAATAGCATATGATATAAAAAAATGAATTTCTTTCCTTCCCCTCTCCATCCACCCCATCTTGACGACTAAAGTAATCATCATTAAATTGTTGGCATCAGCCAGGTGCTGTGGCTCACGCCTGTAATCCTAGCTACTCAGGAGGCTGAGATCTGAGGATCGTGGTTCAAAGCCATCCCGGGCAAGAAAGACTGTGAGACTCCTATCTCCAATAAACCACCAGAAAACCGGAAGTGGCGCTGTAGCTCAAGTGGTAGAGCGCTCGCCTTGAGCTGAAGAGCTGAGGGACAGTGCCCAGGCCCAGAGTTCAAGCCCCACGACCGACAAAAAAAAAAAAAAAAAAAAAACTGAAAGTGGAGCTGTGGCTCAAGTGGTATAGTACTAGCCTTGAGTAAAAAAATTTAGGAACAGTGCCAGGCCCTGAGTTCAAGCCCCAGAAGTGGCACCAAAAAAAGAAAACTGGCAGACATGGTTCCAGGATTTCCTGGTCAGAACTTGGCCCAGCAGGAGACTCCTCCTCAGTGCTGCAGCCCAGGCTTCCTTTGAAGCTATGCAGACCTCCTTCCGTCTTTTGATGGCTGCATGGCAGCCTGTGATGTGTATGCAGTAAGTTATGAAACTGGGCCAGGAAGTGGCGTTGTGGCCCAAGTGGTAGAGCACTCACCTTGAGCTGAAGAGCTGAGGGACAGTGCCCAGGCCCAGAGTTCAAGACCCACAACCGACCAAAAAAAAAAAAAATGGGCCAAAGAGCAGCCCAACTGGTAACTGGGTACACATCTCACGTTTGTTTCTTTCTCGGTTGTACAATCATAAGTTTACCCATCCCCTGCCCCCGGGTCTCCCACCGCAATCGCCCACCTCTCCTCACATTGAGGAGTGTTCTACACTACGCTAGAGTATGCTAGAGTAACCCTTCTTGCTTTCCCTTCATTTCTCAGCCTCCCTTTCTTGGATCAGCCTTCCTTTCTTTCATCCTAAGTGGGGGAAGAGGACATCTTGATTCTTCTGCAAGGACCACCTCCCTCTCCAGTGACACTCTGTCCTATGTCCGCCCCTGCACCTAGAAACAAGCCTTTGGAAATGTCAGATTAGCAATGCCAGTAGAGCAAAATAGGCATACAGCATTTAAAATATGTCAGGCCTAGCGGGTAGTTTCACGCACACGCACACGCACCCCCATGTGTGTGTCTGTGTAAGTTTAATCTGCACAACAGCTCTGTGAAGCAGGTATTATAGCTATAACCACTTTGAAGACGTGGGAACTGAAACACAGAGATCAGATGGCCGGCCCAAGGTCATACAGCTAGTAAATGCAGAGATGAGATTCAAACCAAGCATTCTGACTCTTAGTGTCTCTACCCCAACTATTGAAGCTTCTGTAACAGGACTACAAATCAGGATGTTTTGGAGATTGGATGGTCAGAGAAACCTGCTGAACACCAAACAAACAGAAGGCAGCTTTCTGGGCTACATGGAAAAATCAGGGGTAGAGGGGTGCAGGGAACAATCTGCCATTTGTAGGAGAGCTTGTCTTGCCCAGCTGCTTTACAGGCCTGTGGGCCTGCTGAATTTCCTATCACGTGTCCCTTCTATGTCTCCCTGCCCTAGCTCCTTCCCCTCAGAACAGACCAACAGCAGCAATACTCCCCGAACCTACAGAATAAGCTGAATCCCACCTCCTCCAGTGTCTCCACCAAGAAAGTGTAGCCTCCCACTGAAAGCACAGAACTAAGTCACTTTTCCAGCCTTCACTCAGGAATCAGCCTGCAATTCAGGTGTTTCCCGAAGCAGCCTCCAGGACTCCACTGTCCTCCATCCCTAAGACTGGATGCGGATTTGATTTTTAACTCACCACTTCTCTAGCGCCACAATACCTCTTTTACACAAACAAGTAATCTCGAACGGGTATTCCGTTACAGGAGTAAGAGTGAACGAAAACTGCAAAACAAGCTATCATTCAGAAACCATGTTGTAGGCAGCAAACTACTTTTTATATATAAAAGTCAGACTTCTATTCTCCTAAAAAGTGTTGCTAAATTCCAAAAGTAACTTTCAAGAGACCATTTAAGACCATCAATGAAGCATACAATAGCTTTAAATAGTCTATGTTATAAGGAACAAATTCTCACCCAAAAATAACCATGCTCATAATCACTAGCAAAAGAACACAGGTCATCTGGAACTACTCTTGCTTACAAGGTAGTCTCCTAGACAGAGAGATCCCTTCATGGTCACACAGCAGACTGCTGAGAGACTGAAACTGGGACTCAACTCCCCAGACTCCCCATCTAAACCATATCCAGACATTTATGAAGTACAGTGAGTTTTATAGAATTTGAAGGAGGCCACATGGCACACAGTATGAACAAGAAGACTACTATAAAACAACAAGCAATTAAAACATAAAAACAGACAGCAGCTTAGGTAGGCATGTTAAATTGTAACCCCTTTGTACAACCATCTGAAGTCTGGAAAATAACCTTTTTTAAAAAACTGAAAACCAACAAGCAAACAAACAAAAACAGGTAATAGCCTCTAAAAGAGTTGACCATAAGAAATAAAACTGTGAAATGAAACCTTATATGGGAAAGTCCAAACATTTTGCTCACGAACATTACTGATTCATAACAAAATTATCACAGAAAAACAACAATATTTTCAGGCAAAGCAAAGCAAATGCACGCGGGCAGTCGGGTCATGCAGAGCCCCGCAGCTGCTTCCTCTCCTCACCGTCCTCCTTGGAGGAAGGTGCTCTGTGCGCCTCCACAGAGCAAAGGCAGGACTCACCTCAGAGCGCCACTGAAGATGAGACAGCATTAGAAAAGCACCTGCGGGTGCATCTGGCTCAGCGCTGGTACTCAGTAATTGTTTTCTCTGAGTCTGTACTGTTTTTTTTCTATTTTGATAACCATCAAACCTTGACATAGTTACCATATTCCTTTAAATGTAGTCAAACTTCAAATGACACTGGAAGAATATGTAAGATTTCTTAAAGAACTCAAAATTCAAATAATGGCAATACCATGGTTTAAAAAAACAGTAATGGTAACAAACAGGTTTTCAAGGCCCCTGATGGTCATGTGTTTATCCATTTGGACTGTTAGAACAGAATATCATCAACTGAGGATCTTACGAACAGCACTCTCTGCTGGAGGCTGTAACTTCCATCATCAAGCATCTTTTCAATGTGTCCGCTCAGGGCAAAGGAGGTCTAGTTTCCTGGGCTTGCTCTATAAAGGCATTAACTCATTCATAACACAAATTTGGGGGGCTCAAACCTCTAGACTAGCAGACTAAGTCAGGAGAAATAACTATGGAGAATGGCAGGCTTTGCCTGACTTGACTAGGCCTGTACAGGGGAGAAGTACCAACAGTTTTCATAACCAATCAAATTGTTTACATTGTTTACAATATCAGCATCATATCCATGCAATAGCACATCAAGTTTGCAATGCCTCCTCATGACCACTACAACGTCCTGCTTTTACTTCACCATATCAACAAACTCAAAGCAGAAAAAAACCTTCTGAAAAATTTGCAATGTAATTCCTAGAAAAGCCGGGCACCGGTGGCTCACACATATAATCCTAGCTACTCAGGAGGCTGAGATCTGAGGATTGTGGTTCAAAGCCAGCCCAGACAGGAAAGTCCATGAAACTTTTATCTCCAATAAACCACCAGAAAACTGGGAGTGGCCCGGTAGCTCAAGTGGTAGAGTGCTAGTCTTGAGCTGAAGAGCTGAGGGACAGCGCCCAGGCCCAGAGTTCAGGCCCCACGACCGGACCCAAAAAAAAAAAAATTAAATATAATACCACTTAAGTCCTATGAATCATATTTTCAGCATTTACTTCAATTCTTAAGGACAGTTTCATGTCTGATTGACCCTTAAAATCAATCATGAAACAGTGAAAGGAAACTCAGACTTTTTAGCACCACGATTAGCCACCATGACACCCGTACTGGAAAGGACTTACCACCTCTTCCTGCATCTTCCGCAGCTTATCATCTATCTCCTTCAGCCGGTTTTGCTGGTCTCGCTGCTCTTTGGTGTTTCGAAGCACTTTGTCTCCGGGGACTAGCTCCATAATTTTTTCATCACCAAGGTCAGATTCCTAATTTAAATAAATAAATACATAAAACCCCAGGCTGGTGACGAGCCCCATGGCACTGTGGGTAGAGCGTGCTTCCCAGACAGGACACTGGCCCTACAGAGCCAGTGATGTCTCTAAAATCCCCCTGCTGGTGGCTGGTGGCCCAGGTCACTACGTTACAGTTGTTATGAAGTATGGCTGCGTGGCAATCTAGAAAGCACCCATGCCGGAGTTCACAGACATGTTATTTGGGGACAGGGTGGGTGGATATTTGTGGAGAAATACACTGGAAGGAAATTTAACAATGAATGATGATAAAAATCTCAATTATTTTATCCTGTTTTATTTTTACTTACCCTTCTCTGTGATTCTTGAGTTTCCCATAATGAACATGTATCACTTGCATAGGCAGCACAGTCATTTTTTTAAAGAAAACAAGAAAAATTTTTCTATCAGAGCTGGTTTTGCTCTGCTCTGAAAACCATTTTCTCCTTACCAAAAGGTATAGGCCTACAGGTTAGATTTTCCCTCCAGCATGACTATCATAATCAATGAGAAAGTCACCTCCTCTTTCCAGATCTCGATTTCTTCTGAGAAAGTTTTATTCCATTCTAGTGGCTTGTAAGTCTTTAATTCCCTCCAGTTGGATCCAACAGACGGACGTGTAATGTCTTTCCTTAGCCACAGCCTCTGAACTACCATGTAGTTCAAATATGTGGTAAAAGCAGGGGCCAAGAGCGGAAATGGAGCTGTGGCTCGGGTGATAGAGGGCTCATCTTGAGCAAAAAAGCTCAGGGACAGTGCTCTGGCCCTGAGTTCAAGCTCCATCCACCACAGGCATTTTCTTAAAAATAAAATAAAATAAAATAAAAGCAGGGGCAAAAGAGCAAACCAGAAACCAAAACAGCCTCTGACACTGGTGAAATGCTCCCAGCTGCACAGCCAAAGTGCTCAGGGTTTCCTTTTGCATAACATATTGTCTATGGTTTCATCCCTGTGATGTACCAAGATGATTTTACAGTGACTTCAGCAGAAGTTCTCTGTGACAGGCACAGAATGTCTAATGAAGCCCCAGGGCAGAATTATCCTTGAGGTAAATTGGTATTTGTTGATTTCCGCTAATTGATTGTCCAGGGATCCTCTGTTTATTCTTGGAAAAGTATCTCTGGTAATAACTAAGGCCACAGGGGTCTTTGAAGCTAAATAAACTCATTTTCAAAAGTCAAACACAAAGGAAATTTCTCCTAACTTCCTATTATTTGATATGCAAAGAAGACATGTATTAAGGTCTGGAAACCAGCCCTGGTATTAACAAGCATTCATCGCCAGCTTGTCTGTGTTTTCACATTAATAATGCTCTCCATTTCTACAGGCGGCTGTGACTTCCTGTCCTCAGGTGGGCCAGCTGCCTGGCTGCATGAAAGGGGGTGGGAGAGAATCTTTCAAACAGATTGTTTCTGTCATCTTAGAATACTGCCATGAAATAAAGGAACTGCATTGGAAGCACAACAGAAAAACAAAGAAAAATCTGTGAGGTACAGGCTCTGGTGACAAGGACCTCCGATGTAACTTCCTGTTATGTCTCAGTGCAGAAATCTGTGCTCCTGTGGCACCCTTCCAAAGGCTTTGGAACCCTTACAACTAAGCGGATGCTTAGTGGTAGCTCTATGCCTGTGACTAGTATACATCGAAAAAAAGCCAGAAATGGAGATGTGGCTCAAGTGGTAGAGCACCAGCCTTGAGTAGAAAAAGCTAAGCAAGAGTGAAAGATTCTGAGTTCAAGCCTCAGTACTGACGCAAAAGGAAACAGTAAAACACTAAAAAATACAACCTTCCTCACCAAATGTTTGTTAATTTCCAGTTAGTCTTAACAAATTATGTAAAATGGCATCAATATTTCAGAACAAGAAAATAAAGTAAATTAGGGAGGACTTTTGTATTCAATTTAAATCAGTCTAAAAACACATACCTTCTTGCCAGTGAGAGCCATTTCTAAAGACTTTTCCTTTGACCAAAAAAAAAAAATTGAACCATGAACTATAATTGTAGATTTAATGAGGCTGATTACAGAGGAGAATATGCTATATTTCTTTACATGAGCCAAACAGAATAGACTTGATTACTGAATCCAGTACTGAGGATTTAAGAAACCGGATGCTTACATAACTCCTCTCGCTTAGACATTTTTGAAAAAAGCTGGAATCTAATATATCTACAAATAAGAAAACGTGAATTGTAGACCCTCACTCAATTTTATGGTGGGATTTACAATTCATGGAGAGTTACGAGATAGATATGGGAAGGTATGCAGTTAAACCACAGAGCTCGAGAAAAAAAATGCATCAATTAGTTTTCTTTTGCTAAGATGAAATAAAAACTTAAAACAGATGTAAAGTCTGCAGCTGAGTGGCCCAGGGAGGTTGCTGCCAGTCACCCCCAGCTTTTAAGGAACACTTTGACTCTCTCCTTTTTCTGAGACAGTTTCAACTGGCCTAAAACAAGATCCCTTACCTTGGAGAGAGGATCCATGTTTAAATCTGAATTATGAGTATGGATTATTGATATTTAAATCTTTTGGAAGGTCAAGAAAATCCTAGCCATCTATAATTGTAGAACAAATGATCTGGAGATACTTTTTCTTAAAATGTCATCTGACTCCAAACAGATCTTAAAAGTACTGAAATAGAAGGAGGTCGGGAAAGAATTCTTCTTTTGCAAAGTCCTGCTCCTCTCTGTATCCTATACTTTCTACCAGTTTTGTAAAAGAATATTTGAGAAAATTACTGAGAAACACATTCCTTCAAAACTGTCACAAGAGAGCAACTCAAGAGGTAGGAGCAGGAGGATTACAGTTTGAGGCCACCCTTTGGGAGGCTGAGATCAAGAGGATTGCAGTTTAAGGCCAGTACAGCATACATGAGAAACCAATTCTCAACCAATAGCTGGCAAAATGGCACTTGCCTGTCATCCCAGCTAGGATGGGAAGCCAACTGTGGCCCAAGAAGTAAGTGAGCTCCTTTCTCAAAAATGACCAGCACAAAAAGGGCTAGAGGTATGGTTCAGCAGTAGAGCGGCTGCCTGCCAAGTACAAGGCTCTGAGTTCAAATCACAATACCAGCAGATAAGGAAACCATCTCAAAAACAAACAAACAAACAATGGGTAGGGAGAGTGCCTTAAGTGACAGAGTGCTTCATGCACCAGGCTCCCGTCTAAACCTCAGTACCAGAAGGAAGAAAGAAAAAAAACTCCCATAGAAGTCATCAGCACAAGAAATATCACTGCTCTTGTGTTTAAATGAAGGAGCTGAAGAACTTGGCAGAGAAGGGAACAGGCTGGCCCTGCTAGCACCAAGTCCGGAAAAAATAAAGACAAAGAGGGCTGTCGACTGGCGGGGGAGCGCTGTAAGCTGCGCCCTCCCTCTATCCTCATGATGACCAGGAACCACCTTACATCACAGCCATGGATTTATAAAGCAAGTACTTCCTCAGAGACCACAGCTAGCAACTTACCAAGAGAAGGAAAATGAGTCAAAATGGAAGCAACCAAAGATCCACAATTATGGCAGCTGTCACAGAAAAAGCAACTGGGAAGAAGTGGGTAGAGGGAGCAAGCATGACGGCTAGCTTTCCCAGGCCTCACCTGGACAGTGTGCGTGCTCCTGAGTTAACATACCTGGTTATTCTGACTTTCACACCGTGGAGAGACTGCGGAGAGCTCCTGGAGTTTTGTGTCGATTTCAGCCAACTGCTGATGCTGGCTGGGTGCCAGTGTATACCCCTCTCCTGGGACCAGGCACCCGGGCAAATCACCCTAAGAGGAAAACATTACTAGGTCACTCTGCATTTTCCCCCCAATAACCAAAACATACCATTCGGACTATGACAAGACAGCTCAGACCTTCACACATACAATAAACAAAAGTACAGAATTCATGTTGGGATAGTGAAAAAAATGTGTTACTTTTTTTATATCTGCCAGTGTGGTATAAAATATCTTTTTACAGAATGTAAGAAGACTGTAAGTGGAGTAAGTTGGCCTCACAGCCTTCTTTAGAAAAAGTTTGTGTGGAGCTAGGCATGGTGGCACATGCCTGCAATCCTACTCAGGAGGCAGAGACAGGAGAATCATGGTTTGAGGGCAGTTGGGGCAAAGTTAATGAAACCCTATCTTTAAAAAAAAAAACTAAGCATGGTGGTGCACACCTGTACTATCAAGGCCAGCCCAGGCCAAAGCACAAGAACCTGTCTGAAAAGCAAACTAAAAGCAAAAAGGGTTGCAGATGTGGCTCCATTGGTAGAGTACTTGTCTAGCAAGAGCAAGGCCCTGGACTCAATCCCCAGTACTACTAAAAAAAAATTAAATTAAGAAGAGCAAGGAAGGAAGAAAGGTAGACAGGCAGGCAGATCTAAACCAACCTGAAGTTTTTTTGTTTTCTTTTGCTTTGAGTATGACTAATCATATACCATTTCCATTTTAAAGGTATCCCAAAAAGAAACAAAAAATATGAGGGAAGGGAGAAAATAGTAGAAGATAACTTCCTAAACTGAAGAAAAGTTCAAAGCTTCATATAGGAAAGACCTACAGGTTACTGAGCAAGCACAAAAATATATTTAAAGACAGGGAAGGGGTCTGAATCTACAAGAGGAGGGAGCTTACAGGACGGGAAGGGAAAAGGAAGACATACTGAGGAAGGAGGAGGACTGAAGTGAATTACATATATGCAGCATAACGGCACCCACCAAGCTCCGTTTGAAAAGGGGCAAGAAGAAAGGAACGGAAATGTGATAGAAGAGGTAAATTTACTCAAAATGCACTGCTTGAATGAAAGTATCACAGTGGAACCCCTCATACTACAGTTTGTACTCATTCAAAATTCAAATTAAAAAACATATATATATGTATGCATACATATATATATTCAGTATTTACAGCAACAAAAAAAATGTGATTTCCCCCAAAAAAGAAAATCCTACATGCTTCCAGAAAGAAAGGATTTTGCATCTAAAATTCAGTTAACATTTCAGCTGTCATTCTAGTGAAGGACAAGAATAAGTAAAAATAGACAGGCACCGTGGCTCATGCTTATAATCTTAGCTATTTGGGTGGCTAAGATCTGAGGATCATGGTTCAAAACTAGCCCTGGCAGGACAGTCCATAAGACTCTAACCTCCAATAAACTACTCAGAAAACATTGGGAATAGTTCTGTGGCTCAAGTGATAGAGCACTAGCCTTGAGCACAAAGAAGCTCAGGGACAGCACCTAGGCCCTGAGTTCAAGCCCCAGGGCTAGCAAAAAATAAGTAAAAATTTAAATATTCAAACACTCAAAAATTACCCACACACCACCATTTCTCAAAGAAAAACTTCAAAAAGAAGTTCAGACAAATAATACAAGAAAATTTATTTATACAGTAATTCAGTCCCGATACAAAGTAACATAAAATATTTGACCAGGGCTGGGAAGGTCACTTAGTGGTAGAGTGCTTGCCTAGCATGCATGAAGTCCTGGGTTCCATTCCTCAGTACCACATAAACAGAGAAAGCCAGAAGTGGTGCTGTGGCTCAAGTGGTAGAGCACTAGTCTTGAGTAGAGAAGTTCAGGAACAGAGTCCAGGGCCTGAGTTCAAGCCCTACGACCAGCAAAAAAAAAAAAAAGGCCAAATTTGGTTCAGGAGAATTCCTAAAATAAAATTGCTGTTTTTAAAGGTGAGAAAGGAGGATATCCTCTTTTCCCACAAAGAACTCATTTTAAACAGAAGTTATTGTTGACATTTAAAAGAGTATTTCCCATGAAAATCTGAATTTCTGGTTTCTCTCAAAATTCTGAACATGTGGGCAGCCTGGCCAGGGGTCCACAGAGGAATCACTGAGCGGGTGGGGGCCCCGGGCTGACTGGTGCAGCCAGCCCCGCAGTGCACTGTGGACTGTGTGCTTCCTTTTCAAGCTGTGCTCCAGGCTGGGGTCTCAGATGCAGAAGTCGAGACAGGGGATCTTGTTCTGTGATTTGCTGGTGTGTGTTCAGGACAGGTGTGTGAAGCGAGCAGGCAAAGACAAGGCACAGAGTGAAACAAAGACATGGTCTCAACTTCATTTGACCCCAGGAAAGCACAGAGTAACCAGAGTAACCCCATCCAGAAGTGAGGAGCCTGTGGTGGGGAGGAGTCCCCTTTCAGCTCAGTCGGTGCTGCCCTCAGGAAGCCCAGGGAACTAAATGGCCAAGATCAACGAGGCAAGAGCAGAACAGTGTGCTTCAGGACTACTGAGGACCACCCTGAAATACCCTAACGCCAATGTGGGGAGAAGGAAACGCAGACACATGGTCTCAGTGACGAAGCCCAGCGCCCTAGCAAAGGATTATTGGTATAAGCAGTATGTATGTACTCACTCCCAAAGCGACTTAACATAGTCTGTGAGAATCCATAATGCACTGACCAAGAATGAATTTGAAAACATCAATTAAAACAAACTGTAAAACAGGACTTTTGCTGGGCAGCCTAGCTCTGTAATCCTATCTTTAATTACATTTGTAAGCCTATCTACTCTGAAGGCTGAGATCCCAGGATTGAAGTTCAAAGCCAGCCTAGATAGGACAATCAGTGATACTTATCTCCAATGAACCAGCTAAAAACACTGGAGGTGGAGCTGTGGCTCAAGTGGTTCAGTGTCAGCCTTGAGCAAAAAGTCCAGTGGACCAAGTGACAGCCTCAGGGCCTCATTCAAGCAGGTACAAGAAAAAAGATTTTCTAGACTCAGAAAATAATGTCTGAAAATAACCTGAAAAACTATGATAAAGTTGTGCCAAGGGATTGGTAACATGAAAAGAATTTCAAACTTGTGTGCACATACCTCAGAACTGGTCAGGCCTGAGTCTCTGTCTAAATCCTTCAAAAGTTCCTCCAGCCTTTTCTTGTCTCTGTCAGCCATAACCACAGGATCTCTTGAATTTTTGGCCAGCTGTAGAATATTTAGTGAGATACACTGAGTACTCAAAACAATTCATAGTTCAGGAAAATAGGAATAGGACCTTCCTGAGGCTTCCACAGAATGGATACATTAAGGTAAAAATTAAAAGGTCAGGCATTTTGTATTTGCCTGGTGTTTTTTTTTTTTTTTTTTGTCAGTCATGGGGCTTGAACTCTGGGCTTGGGCACAGTTCCTCAGCTCTTCAGCTCAAGACAAGAGCTCTACCCCTTGAGCTACAGCACCACTTCCATTTATTAGGTGGTTTATTGGAGATAAGAGTCTCACGGACTTTCCTTACCAGAGCTGGCTTTGTACCTCGATCCTCAGATCTCAGCCTCCTCCGTAGCTAGGATTACAGGCGTGAGTCACCGGCGCCCGGCTTGCTAGGTGATTTTTTTTTTTTTTTTTTTTGGGGTCCAGTCATGGGGTCTGAACTCTGGGCCTGGGCGCTGTCCCTCAGCTCTTCAGCTCAAGGCTAGCGCTCTACCACTTCAGCCACAGCACCACTTCTGGCTTTTTTCTTTTTGCTTAGGTGGTACTGAGGAATTGAACCCAGGGCCTCAGGCATACAAGACAAGCGCTCTACCACTGAGCCACCTTCTCAGCCCCAATGCTAGGTGATTTTTATCTTGCATCTTTTAGAGACTAAATGGCCAGTCTCCAAGCAAAGGCATTTCCACTGGAAGAAGGCCCTCTTGTTACCCATTTCAACCAACATTTCATATAAAAACCAATAAAACATGAGCAGTTTCCAAGTCTCCCTCTCAAGATACAGATGTAGATATAGATACATTTATTTGCTGAGACATTTTGAATCACTTTCTGCTAGCATACATCTGCTAAATAAACTGTCTTGAAATTGCAATGGAACTGGTGCTGGGTAAAACAAGGCATTTAAATAAAGATTTGGTCAGATTATTCAAAGGCTAGCCGAAGAGTCTGGTGAAAATGCTGTCTGGGTTAGCAATAACATGGATTTGGGGAAACTCTCCTGCATGTGGAAAATTCAGCAATAAATCAGGATGCAGTAGGCCAGCACAGGAAAGAGGCATTGTATGGACATGCAGCACAGGAACACGGGGGTGCCCAAGGCCAGGGTGCCGGGGTTGGGCTGACTCCTGAATTCAGTCTGCTTGTAAACAGTCATCATGGAAAAGCCACTGGACCTAAACAGCAGGAATCACTTAATGGTCTCCTCTTGTTAATGCTACACACTCATGGGTGCATCTTTCTGGTGACAAGGTACCCAGATGGCTGCTGAAGCTGTCTGCCCACCCCACTTACATTTCTTCTTGTAAATTAAGTCATTGGCTTTCTGGCCTGATAGAGGAGCTCCTGTGCCCTTGGTTGGTCTGAGTCAGCTGCAGGACCTCGAAGGCCAAGAATGAGCCCTAAAGCAAGGAGCTGGTCAGGTACAGCAGCCAGGAGCCTGGAGGCTCAGAGGGGGACAGCTGCCGCTTGTCTTCTCCAGCCCAGCCCACCGGTGCTGCTCTGACCAGAGCACTAGCTGCTCAAAAGGCACGAGCTTCCCAACCAGCCACATTACCAAAACAATTAAAAACAAAAACATAGCCAGGTGCCGGTGGCTCATGCCTGTCATCCTAGCTACTCAGGAGGCTGAGATCTGAGGATTGCCGTTCAAAGCCAGCCCAGGCAAGGAAAGTCCATGAGACTCTTATCTCCAATGAACTACCAGAAAACCTTAAGTGAGCTGTGGCTCAAAGTGGTAGAGTGCTAACCTTCAGCAAAAGAGCTCAGGGACAGAGCCCATACCCTGAGTTCAAGCCCCATGACTAACAAAAGAAAAAATAATGTGTGTGGGGGGGGGGGGGTCGGTAGGGGGAGAGGGGAGAGGAGTTGGGAGGTGGGGAAGGAAGGGAAGGTAGGGGAAAAACAAAGGAGGGGGTAACAATGCTCAATAGGAAGTGTACTTATTACCTTACTCATGTAACTGTAACCTCTCTGTACAATATCTTTACAATACAAATATATTTTAAAAATTCAGTAATGTAAAATGTGGAAACTCTGTCCAAATTGCAGGAAACCAACTGTATCTGGGTGGTAAGATAATGTTAGCATAAGTTGTAGCTGGCATTTTAAAAGGTGGGGAGATAGGAATGTAAAGATAGGCTGGAATGGAATAAAAATCGAAAACAGTGGAGACAAGCATTGGCTCAGAGAACTTTCAGTTGGATATACTGATTCAGTTGTACATTCACGCATTCTAGTTTTTTTAAAAAAAATAGCTAGAGACCCTGAATAGACAACTACCATTTCTGTAATTCCTCTGGTCCCACAGGCTGCTCCCTGAGTTTCTAAATACATACCTCAATGTTGCGCTTAATAAAATCCTGGTTTTGTCTGTCCCAGACCTTCTCTGTGTCTGAGAAAGAGTTCTTTTCTGCTTTAATCAGTGGCGCATTTTTTTCCACATCACAAGTGAAACCTAATATTAAAAAATTCAAATTTTCTCATAATTACAACAGTGGCACACTAAAAAATTCACTTTATATATATTATGTATTAAAATATGTAAGAAAACACACATAGAAGAAACAATTTCTAAATTCCAGACCCAGAACTTATATATGGAGGGTTTTAAAAGATGCTACCATAACTTCCAATGAAGTTCTCACTAAATTTAATGCATTTTCCTACAAGGAACTTCCTGCTGTCAGTTCCTTGGGAATGATAGGAAAAATGACCAGAACTCTAAGCCCTAATGCAAAAAACACTTCTGTTGTTATGAGGGTATAAAATATATGCTTTATTCTATCTTTATATGAAACAAATCTTTCTCTAAAGACAGAATCATGTCCTGCTAGCCTATTAATTTTCTTTTTTTTTTTTTTTTTGGTTGGCCGTGGGGCTTGAACTCTGGGCCTGGGCACTGTCCCTCAGCTCTTCAGCTCAAGGCGAGCGCTCTACCACTTGAGCTACAGCGCCACTTCCGGTTTTCTGGTGGTTTATTGGAGATAGGAGTCTCACAGTCTCTCCTGCCCGGGCTGGCTTTTGAACCGAGATCCTCAGATCTCAGCCTCCTGAGTAGCTAGGATTACAGGCGTGAGCCACCAGCGCCCGGCTTTAGCCTATTAATTTTCCCTCACTTTCTCAACAATAAACCTTTTGTTTGGGCCAGTGTTTAGTAAGCAAAGCCGGGATGCGGTGGAGGTGTCTGATGTCTGGACAGTCTGCGACCACTGGAACCACCGTTGCAGCCCGTCTCATTGGTCAGTTCCTCCAACCTTCGGTAAAAGGGTGGACTAAACTTGAAACACTGAAAGCCTTGGGTAGTCAAAACCAGGCTAAGGAAATTATTCAGAGACTTGCTCCCATAATTGAAACATCTTGTTTTCACTGTTTCATATTTAAAGCTTTTTAAACATCATGTGAGCTCTTCATTAAAGTACGTGGGCCAGGTACATGCCACCACACCCAGCTTACACGGAGATGAAGTCTTACGTACTTTTTCTGCCTGGGAAGGCCTGGAACCACTCACTCCTGATCTCAGTCTTCCAACTAGTGTGAGCTGCCTGACACCTGGCTCATATGTTCTTCTTAGTGCATATATCTATACATATATATATATATATATATATATATATGTGTGTGTGTGTGTGTGTGTGTCATATCTATATACAGTTTAATCTCATATATAAACAATACAACATTAAGACAACTGAAGTTAATTGGGCACCTGTGACTCACACCTATAATCCTAGCCACTCAAGAGGCTGAGATCTGAAGATCGTGGCTCAAAGCCAGCCCTGACAGGAAAACCTGTGAGACCATTACTTTCAATTAACAACCAAAAAAGCCAGAGAAGTAGAGCTGTGGTTCAAGTGGTAAAGCCTTGAGCACAAAAGCTCAGGGACAGTATCCAGGCCCTGAGTTCAAGCCCCAAGACCCCACACTTACACACATACACACACACACACACACACACACACACACACACACACACACACTCTGACAGATGAAGTTAAATGCAGCCTTTTTTTTTTTTGTCAGTCATGAGGCTTGAACTCAGGGCATGAGTGCTGTCCCTGAGCTCTTTTGCTCAACGCCAACATTTTACCACTTTGAGCCACAGTGCCACTTCAGGTTTTCTGGAGGTTAATTGGAGATAAGAGTCTTACAGACTCTCCTGCCTGGGCTGGTTTTGAACTTAGATCCTCAGATCTGTCTCTTGAATAGCTAGGATTACAGGCGTGAGCCATCAGAGCCAGGCGATGTGCAGCCTTTTCTATTTCTATGATGGAGTTTCTTTAAAATATACTTCTAATAAATTATGGATGGGAACACTGGCCATTCTGGCCAGATTATTTCCCTAGAAATGCCTTCTTCTCTCCACTCATGTTGATGTAGCATAGCTGCCGGCTTCCTACAGTGACCCCTGATGCTTCCTGGGTCAGATGGGCTGCTTGAACCAGGGAGCGTCACCTCGCCTTTAATTCCGGACTTGAGTTCCCTCAAGCACTGACATCATTGCTTTTGGAAACCAAAGAAAGTGGTCTCTCACCAAGATCCTTCGCATAATTTTACTTTGCTTAAGCCATGTTTCCATGGTTACTTGCATCAGGAGTTTGTAAAGTTCTTTATTATACAAATTTTCAAACATTCAACAGTAGAAGGGTGTGTGTTCAACAAGTGGCTTCAACAAGGACCAACTAATGACTGATTATAAGCTATCTTGAACCCCGTCTCCTCCTCCTCACCTCTAGACTGAACACATCAGATCGTCTCGTCCATGACCGGTTATGAACACAGCGAGCATTCCCTGTGATCATGCATGCAATCACACAAATTCATACATACCCTGGTGGACCTTCTGCATATGGTTTTCATAATCTTCTGGAGGCAGTTGCGTGTGAAACACTGAGAAAAAATGTTCTTCATCTTCATAATGAGAAGGACCTAGTGGTTTAAACAGTCACTGTTCAATATTCACAAAAATAATTATCTACACAGCCCTTTTTAAAAGATCAGATCTGTTTTATAATCTTCAATTGTTGTTTTAATATTGTTCAATTGCATGATTAAAAAAATAATAATATGTCAATCCAGGCCCCAGTGGCTCATCTCTGAAACCCTAGCTAGTCAGGAGGCTGAGTTCTGAGAACTGCAGCCAAAGCCAGCCTGGGCAGGAAAGTCCAGTCATGGAACTCTTATTTCCAATTACACACACACACACACACACACACACACACACACACATACACACACACACAAACACACACACACATACACACACACACACACACCACCAGAAATGAAGCTGTTGCTCATGAACCTTGAGCACAAAAAGCTCAGGGATAGTGCCCAGGCTCTGAGTTCAAGTCCTAGAACCAACACAAAAATAAAATAATATTAATGTCAGTACAAATGATATCATCTTTATATGTGGAACTCCCCGAAACTAACTACAGAAGTAAAGATGCCAATAGCATTTCCGTCATATGTACAGAACAAAAAGGATTAAGAGAGTAGGTTAAAACATCACAGTAATGCCCAGAGATGGTGTACCCAAAGCCTAATGCACCAATACAATGCAGATACATTCTTGGTAACTGTAATTATGATGTTCTTTTTCCAATTTTAGACCTCCAAAAGTTGACGATTTCAAATATGTGACCAGTCATTAAGACAAAAGATCGTGTTTGAAAGAGAAAACGTGGGAAATTCTTAGTTTCCTTTCTTCCATTTCTGTTTTTGTTTTCTTAATACATACATCTATTTCCTTTCTTAGAAGGCCTAGAACCAACCACTCTCTAGAAGCAACAATCAAACCAGGTATCAGACGTTGAGTGCAATACTACTTTTCTTTTCTTTCTTTTTTTTTTTTTGAGGTGGGGGGTCCGGTCATGGGGCCTGAACTCTGGGCCTGGGCGCTGTCCCTCAGCTCTTCAGCTCAAGGCTAGCGCTCTACCACTTGAGCCACAATGGCACTTCCGGCTTTTTTCTTTTTGCTTATGTGGTGCTGAGGAATCGAACCCAGGGCCTCAGGCATGCAAGGTACGCGCTCTACCACTGAGCCACCTTCCCAGCCCCGCAATACTACTTTTTAACAGAAGCAATCAAGGACCCCTGGAGGAGTGGTTGATTCTGGGACTTAATAGGAAATGCAGAAGTGTCTGCGGCATCCTGCAGCACCAGGGAGTAAGGACAATTATGACAACAGCAACCACAGAAACCCACAGAGATCAAGACTTGTCAGAGTCACAGAGCCACCAGGAGAGCTCCCAAGCACTAAAGCTGGAAAACTTGGAGAGCAAAACAATCCAAGAAGTATTAAATTCTAACCCAAAGTGTAAAATCATTATCCACATTCAGCATAAATGAATGGTTGCATAAAATGTGACACAGCAGATGGATCTACCATGAAGAATAATTCAAAATAATGTATGTAAATACCCTGCTTTCAAGGAGGGAGAATATATAACTTTCCATTCCCTAAATGGGGCTTCACATAACAACTTCCTTCCAAAAAGTACAGTATGGAAAAGGGGAAAATGGTGGAAAAACCAGGCAAATATCCACAGTGATGCTATGTTAACATTATGATGTAATATGACAGAAATACCACTCTACCCTGTAGGAAGACTTTCCTCTCTAACATAAAACCTCACTCTATCCATGAGAAAATCGTAAGATTAATGCCAGTGGCTGAGCATTCTATAAGAGACCTGATCAGTATGCCTTTCATTTGTCACAGTCATTAAAAATAGGCAAGACTGAGAAGAGTCATAGGCAGGATTAGATTACGGAAGCATGTAACTGTAAAATGCTAGCTTCAAAAAGAAAAGGATGACTACACAACTTGTGGGTGGAGACAGGAGGGGAAAACTGGGAGAGAGGGAAGGGATGACATTGTCCAAAAAGAGATGTACCCTGGAAGTGGTGCCGTGGCTCAAGTGGCAGAGTGCTAGCCTTGAACAAAAAGAAACTCATGAAGAGCACCCAAGCCCAGAGTTCAAGTCCCAGGATGGGCAAAAAAAAATGTACTCTTTACCTGACTTGTGTAACTGCAACTCCTTTGTACATCACCTTTTTTTTTTTTGGGTCGGTCATGGGGCTTGAACTCTGGGCTTGGGTCCTGTCCCTAAGCTCTTCAGCTCAAGGCTACCACTTGAGCCACAGTGCCACTTCTGGTTTTCTGAGCCGTTTATTGGAAATAAGAGTCTCATGGACTTTCCTGCCTGGGCTGGCTTTGAACCGTGAGCCTCCTCAGCAGCTAGGATTACAGCCATGAACCACTGGTGCCCGGCTATACATCACTTTTATAATAACAAAAATTAAATTAAAAAAAAAGAAAAAGATGGAAGCAGAGGTATGGTTGAAGTGGTAGAGCAGCAGCCTTGAGCAAAAGGAGCTCAAAGACAGTGCCCAGGCTCAGAGCTCAAGTCCCAGGACTAGCAAAACAACAAGAATGTACTCTTTACCTGACCTATGTAACTGTAACCCCTTTATATATCACCTTTATAACAATAATTAAAACGTTAAATAAAAAAAGAAAAAGATGAAAACAGATGTGTGGTTCAAATGGTAGAGTAGCACCCTTTGGCAAAAAAAGCTAAGGGACAGTACCCAGGCCCAGAGTTCAAGCCCTAGGACCAACAACAACAACAAAAACCTGAGAAGATAGAAATGAAGTTGGACTTGAGTGAATAACAACCTCTCAACTTTAGCTCACTAGTTGTAACAGATGAACCACACTAATATATCCAGATTCTTTAATTGCTATGAAAAATCAGCATACAGAATTTTATACTAGTGAATTTCCATGGTAAGTCGATACTTTAAGATTTCAGGACACTCACTGCAGAACTCCAAAAGGAACTGAAACTAAATCATAAATATGGAAGAAGTGGAGGAGAGTCAGAAGTCTGCTTCCAAGAAATTATTTGGACCAGATGGTTTTTCCAGTGATATCTTTCAGGTTTTTAAGGAACAGATAATCATGCTATATACACTGTGTCAAAGCACAGAAATAAACAAGCTGCTACCTCATCTCAGTGTATGACGTTATCAGAGCAGACGATGCAGGCACATGTACCTACACGCCCTTCATACATCTCCTCCCCCAAACCCATAAATACGTTCATGTACATATATTCACATGTATCCACATACACACACGCTAATATCACTTTTTTTTTTTTACAATCATGGGTCTTGAACTCTGGGCCTGGGCACTATCCCTGTGCAATTCAGCTCAAGGCAAGCACTCTACCACTTGAGCCACAGCACCACTTCTGGTTTTCTGGTGGTTAATTGGAGATAAGAGTCTCATGGACTTTCTTGCCCGGGCTGGCTTTGAACTGCGATCCTCAGATCTCGGCCTCCTGAGTAGCTGGGATTACAGGCGTGAGCCACCAGCACCCGGCATGCTAATATCACTCTATAGAGACAAAAAGTATGAATAGATCTGGTCATTTAAATTTAGTACTACAATAAAAGTCTTCCATAATGAACAGGATTGACCCAGGAATAAAGGATTATATTAGTGTTTAAATCTATTAATTTTAAAGGATGTCACAAAAGAAAAATCTATAATAACTTAAACAGATGTTGAAATGCATTCAATAAATTTCAACCCTAAGCCAAGTACCAGTGGCTCGTGCCTGTAATCCTAAATATGCAGGAGGTTGAGATCTGAGGATTGCAGTTCAAAGCCAGCCTGGGCAGGAAAACCTATGCAACTCTTATCTTCAATTAACCACAAAAAAAGCCTAAGTAGAGCTGTAGCTCAAGTGCGAGAATGCTATCCTTGATCAAAAGGCTTAGAGACAACACCCAGACCCTAAGTGCAAGCCCCAGAACCAGCACAAAGCAAAAAGCAAGAACAAAACATAAAAATTAAGACTAAGTTGATAGTTCTCAAGAGAAAAGCTAACTATTGAAAAATTAACAATTTAGGGACTGGGAAGGTGGCTCAGTGGTAGAGTGCTTGCCTTGCATGCATGAGGCCCTGGGTTCCATTCCTCAGCACCACATAAGCAGAAAAAGCCAGAAGTGGTGCTGTGGTTCAAGTGGTAGAGTACTTAGCCTTGAGCTAAATTGCTGAGGGACAGCACCATGGTAGACAAAGAAAAAAAAGATAACATTTTAAATAACAACACCCCAGGCAAATAACTGATGAAAATCAGAATAATCTAGCTCAATGTCTAAATAGAAATCAAAATATTTGCAAAGAAGCCAATAACGTTTCTCTATGCCATTAATAACCCACTGACATGGTGAGATGGAATTACACATCTTGGAGATAACAAAGTGTGATGAGAATTGTATATGGACTATACAATATAAACAACTCGCTGGAATATTGTTTTATAGTTTTGCAAGATATTAACTGAGGAATAATTGGGAAGAGAGAGGTACTAAATTTCTCAGTATTATGTTTCACATAAAATTATCTTTAAAAATTATCACACAGGGGGCTGGGAAGGTGGCTCAGTGGTAGAGCGCTTGCCTTGCATGCATGAGGCCCTGGGTTTGACTCCTCAGCACCACATAAGCAAAAAGAAAAAAGCCGGAAGTGGCGCTGTGACTCAAGTGGTAGAACGCTAGTCCTGAGCTGAAGAGCTGAGGGACAGTGCCCAGGCCCAGAGTTCAGGCCACATGACCGGACCCCCCAAAAAAAATTATTATATAGGGCTAGGAAGGTGGCTCAGTGGTAGAGTGCTTGCCTTGTATGCATGAGGCCCTGGGTTCCATTCCTCAACACCACATAAGCAGGAAAAAAAAGCCAGAAGTGGCACTGTGGCTCAAGTGGTAGAGCGCTAGCCTTGAGCTGAAGAGCTGAGGGACAGCGCCCAGGCAAAGAGTTCAAGCCCACGATTGGACCCCCCCCCCCAACCCGAAAAGAAAAAAAAATATCACACAACTGCTACAACCAGCTGCTTGGACTTGCCCTG